GTATAGAAAAGAGACAGCAGTTTTCCTGTTCCATCAGACTGATTTGACTTGGGTTGTAGGTAAGTGATACTAGCTGTTCCATAGAACAAGACCACAACCGTCAGGTGAGAAGAGCAGGTAGAGAAGGCTTTAGCCCTCCCTCTGGCTGATGACATTTTTAGAATGTTGGAGATGATTTTGSCATAGGAGGCAGAGATCAAGATAAATGGAACCATGACATATAGTACTGCAACCACATACACTGCCATCTCATTCACAAAAGTGTCACCACAAGCAAGACTGAGCAGTGGGGGGATGTCACAGAAGAAGTGGTTAATTTTGTTAGAYCCACAAAAGGGCAAAGAGAAAATCTGGTATGTTTGCCCAATTTCAACAGGGATTCCACTGACCCAAGATGCAGCCACTAGCTGTATGCAAACCTTGTGGCTCATGACTACAGGGTACTGCAGAGGGTTACAAATGGCCACATAGCGGTCATAAGCCATCACTGTCAAGAGGAGGCACTCTGTGCCTCCAAGCAAGAGGACAAAACACATTTGYGTAGCACAGGCATAAAAGGAAATAGTTCCTTTCTGTGTACAAAGGTCCATGAGCATTCTTGGCATAGTGGCTGTTACATAACAGATTTCCAACACTGAAAAGTTGCTAAGAAAAAAATACATAGGAGTTTGAAGAGCAGRGTCAGTTYTKGTTATCAGTATAATAATGCTATTGCACATCAAGATACTGAAATATAAGAATAAGAATATTCCAAAAATCATCCACTGAAGATGGGGAATATCAGAAAATCCCAAAAGAACAAATTCCATCAATGTAGTGGTATTTGATTTTTCTGTTCTACCTGGCTCTTCACCTGCAGATATGGTAAATTTAACATGGTTAATTTATTCCTATCTTGAACCACATTGATCTCTTAKGATACCTGGAGTTTAGTCCATAAATACACTTTTATAATCTCATCAATCATTTCTACCATTATCTGTTTTTGTATCTACTACTTAAAATTTCAAATTTCAGAGATCAAGTGATATGCATTTAAAATCTATTCAGGAGATAAAATCAAATGTATATTTTTGAGAAATAAATTTTCATCATTTCACTCTGAAAAGGAAAATAATGTTCAGTGTTTTGTACTGATATTCCTGGGTTTATTTTATTATCTCTTCATTGGTATTCTAATATCATTTTTTAGTCCTAAGTATTTCCTTAAAACTCTTTCTTTAATTATTATTCAAAATGAACTGTAAGTCTTTGTTYAAACTCTAAAAAATGAACTTTTTAAACTAATTCATTATTATTGAATAAATAAATATGCATTATTATTGCTCTTATTTGTGTATCAGTCCATTGCTTATGCTAAATATGGGAACCTAAATTCCAGCATGTTGTTCATTTACTTTCCTTAATAACAACTATGTTACTGTGAATCAAAAACATCAATTCAGAAGGGGAAGAATCTCAGTGATGGGTGATGCTCTGGGTTTGGTACCTAGCAGCACATCAGAAAATAGTAAATTCAATTATCCTTTTAGTTAATAAATACACATGACCTATTACACACACACTTTTTTTATATTTCTTTTCTTACTTGTATGAGATTCTCCATGGTCATTTAATTGTCTTGTAAGCAAATATAGCACCCTTTCTTTATTTTCTTTTTATAATGTTATCTTTTACAAGTTCTGATGTGTTTGACACTAAGTTTTATTCACTCAGGTGATTCAAAGGAATCAAAAATAAAACTGTCCTTTTTAGTTTCATCCCTATGATGCAGTCAGCACTACAAGACAATTCCCATCACATTTTCCTAATTCTTGTTTTCCAACTTCCCAAATGAGTTTTCTACATTCCTTATATTCTGAAGTCTATTATACCTATGCACAATTGAGCCCCAACAATCTATGATTTTGAATTAATATATTGATAGATAGAAGTGATCAGATGCTGCTCCCTTAAGTTACACATTTCTGTCAGTAGTTGTTTTCAAGATTATCAAATAATTTTGGTGATTGTAAATACAATTGTCATTATTAGACATGCATCTTATTTTATTTAAGTATATAATTAACAAAGTTAAAATATATGAGTTACTTGAA